ATAACAGAACTGAAAAGAACAGAGAACGGAGCCTGACACAGAGTGGTGAACCAGAGGTTGAGCCACGGTTACTTGCTCCCTTGAAAAAAAAAGATTTTATTTTGCTTGAAGTTTTTAAAATTGTCATTAAATATATTAATTTATTATTCAAAATGCTGATATGAATTTTTAGTTTTTTTTAATCACATACTGTACATTACTAGGACTCACCGCCTCCTGAACAGATGATCTTCAGGTCCACTTTTTAATCCTAACATATTTAATATTCTCATACTCCATATCATCTCTCGCTGTATTTTTTTTTTTTTTCCAAACACACTAGGTTTTTATCTTAGCTAGACGTTAATTGGAATTCACACCGCGGTACTTGTGACATTTTGATAATCGCACTATTGACTGTTATGTCGGACAAACACTTTTGATTTTTTTTTCTCTCTCCACCAAGTTGAGTGAGAAAAAGAGTGGGCATGAACATGATAATTTAAACAGCGAGATTCATTCACTCACTTTTCATCCTGAGTGGAGCACAGAGAGTCAGTGGAAGTTTTTTTTTTTTTTTTAAATTTCTAAGGAGCACTGGCAAAGAACTGCTGAGAGAATTGGACTTTTATTCACAGCAGCAAAGGTTTACACCAGACAGAAACAGGTCATGATTAAAATTGTTGGAATTTACATTTTATATACAAACGTCACGACCACAACCGACATTTAGAATATATATCGGTGCAGTTAAACCTTGATTCAAATCATTCTAGAGCTTCTTTTTTTTTGTCAAAATGAACCAAAAATGACTCTGTTGGGACAGAGACACTTCTTCTCTGATCTACACTTTATATTCATTTGTTGCAGAGGTGGACTGCAGGCAGGCCAGTGAAGCCTATGCATCATATTCATACAGAATTCTGCCGCTGTTGTGTGTTGATGAGGCAGACACTGAGATCCACGGAGTTCCTGAAATAAAAATCCAAATGCCCCTCACCCTGAACCCTGAACCTGACAGATGGCATTTGCATTTCAGTCGAGAGAATCATTTTCGTGTCTGGCTGGTAGTTTCCCACGTTATCTTTATTTTATTATATTTTGAAAACAAGCTAAAACACAAACTAGCCACACCAGTTAGCTACACAGCTAGTCCAGGGCTTTGACGGTCACTCTGTCGCTGTAGCATGGGAGCTTTTCAAGGTCATGCACATTCAGCAACAGATTTGACCCTTGACTTTAACACGGGAGAAAAATCCTGACCCAGCTCTAAGTGTTGGTTGGCAAAGTGCTAAGCTGTGGTCAATTTGTTTTTTTAGTTTTTTATTATTATTATTCAAATCATTCCAGAGCTTCTAGAGTTTTTATTTATTTTTATTTTTGTCACGAAAAAAACAAAACAAATTCTTTCATGTTTTATTTCAAGTTTAAATAAACATAATATATATATTTTTGAAACTTTTTTTTAGGAAGTGAACCGCTGATATTGCGTTTATATATTTGTGTGTGTGTGCGTGTGTGTGTGTGTGTGTGTTGAAGGGTTATATTGAGGGAAAAGCGCTCTGGATTTTAAACGTCCTGGATAAGAAACAGATGCTGCAAAAATTAGGAAAGAAACATGGACTCCTCCCAGCAGCGCCACTTTGGCCCGGTGAACTGGCACACGGGCGGGCGGGCCGGGCTTCTCCTCTCCGGAGCTGCCGGTGCTGCTGCCGCTGGCTGCGCCTGCGGCCGGCGCGGCTGCCGGTGCTGCTGCTGCTGCTGGGGAACATTAAGGGACTTGGCACGGCTCGACTCCACCAGGCTGCCAACCTCCCTCACTCACTCTCCGCGGACTGTGGAGGGAGAGAGTGATGAAGATGATGAGGAGGAGGAGGTGCTGGTGTTAGTGTGAGGGTCGGGGAGTTTTTTTTTTTTTGATAGATGTCCGTTTCCACTGCTGACTGCCGGGCTTAGCTTTGGGGGCGGCTCTTCCAAAAAATGTAGGCAACCCCCCCCACCCCTCCATCTCTGCTGATGAGGCCAAAAAAGAAGACAGACTGGGGCCTAAAATACACACCAGCACAGACACAGCAGTCAGGGCCTCGGGGTTTCCTCGGTGCTTTTTAAACCTACAACCTGAGCCAACACCGCGGGAGCGCAGGTTGATTTCCCTGCAGGTACTTACAGACAGAGGACGGCCTGTTTATCTGCCAAAAGGATTTAAACAGTACCAGGAACTGGACCACCAGTTATACCACATTTAATGAACATGAAAGTGGGGAGAAAAAAAAACTGCATTCAATCCTTGATATTTTCACTTTGTACTCTACTATAGATAAATGTACTTTTTCATTATAACTCAGTTACTATAAATAAAATGGACTCACTAGTAAAAAACAAACTTTACATTGTAAAACTAAATATCTTTTCTTAAATTGCTCAAGATTAATTTTCAAGGTATCGTATTGTTTGAAAATAGTTTTTAGTTTTTTAATTTTTCTATTTATTTATCAAGTTTATTTATTGACACCAAAACACAGATACGGGGATAATATTTCGTTTAAATTAATCAGTTATTAAATACACGTCACGTTTCGACTGTAACGGTCCAGTCAAATTGGAATGAAAAGTGTTAATTACTATATTTAAAAAATAATCTATGAATACATAAAACATTAAATGTACTTGATTTGTTGAACAAAAAATTAACTTTTTCAATTACTTTACTATTTCACATTGAACAAAAAATAAAAATAAAAATAGAAAAATATTTGTGATTATTTAAAAATAATCTTTTTTATTCACGTTTTGTTTTAATTGTTTTATTGTTTTTATTCCTGAATCTTTTTTGGTAAATTTCCATTTCGTCATCGTTGCTCCTGCCGTTTTATAACTATTAAAATATCGCATTCCTCTGGAAAATATATTTAAAAAACAAATACATAAATATAATAGTATGTTGTCGGTACTTTATACAACAGTGGTCATTTTTACCAATATTACCAACCAAGGCATTGGTGTGTGTGTGTGTGTGTGTGTGTGTGTGTGTGTGTGTGTGTGTGTCCACAGACGGGGGCGAACAACCGGGACATTTTTTGGGAACATATGGGTCCCAGGGCATCGCTCCAAACCCAGTCGGGGTGGCAACGGCTGTCCTCTGCATGTGTGTGTGTGTGTGTGTGAGAGAGAGAGAGAGGGAGAGAGAGAGAGCACTTTTCTGTGTGTGATTATTTCTTGTTAATTGTTTGTTTTAAAACACCCTGTAAAATTAAACCAGTGATAAGATAGAAATGAGAAGATACTGAACATGTTAGAATCACAACATCAAAACAAAATGATAGTAAAATCAATGACTCGTGTCTTTAGTTCATCCTGATGCTTAAATCGTTTTAACTAAAGGGGCAAAACTAAACTGGTGATAATGCACTTTATCACGAGTCTTCCCTCTGACCCACTGGATTTTGTGAGAGATCCATAACACAACCAACATTTTCTTTACCCAGAGTCAGGTCACGACTTTTGAATTTAGAAAAGGAATTGTCCCATTTTAGCACGTGGAATTTTTATTTTTATTTTTGTATAAAAGCTGCTGAACGTTCCTTGTCCGCTGTTCATTCAATCTGGACTGCAGGCTGGTCACACACACACACACACACACAAACTGTCTAAAAAATACTGTTTAATTTGGGGCTCCATGTTTGTGCTTTGATGAGCAGTTAACTTGGTTTGACGACCTGTTGGGTACAGTTTGTATCGAACGCATACATTTTCTAAGTATATTCAGGGTATGTGTACGATGTTCTACAATAATTTAAAGAATATTTAATAATACTTTAATTAAGTAGGTGTTTGAGCTTTTATTATTTTTTGACAAACTCTATAAACTCTTTTTTACCTTAGCTTTCTAATTGTTTTTTTTTTGGTGTTTCCCTGTTTTCCAAAACCTAACCTGCACATGCTGGTGATATAGTCAAACCTAATTTATTTATTTTTTGTATAACAGTAAACTAATATCCATGCAGTTATTAATGATAATAACGGTCAATAGCTGTATAGATCTCACTTCACTAAATCTTAGCTGTTGTCGTATCGACCACATGTTGGGACGAAGGTCCAAAGGACGGTGTGTGGGAGCTCTCCTTGGTGCTGAAACTGAATTCTCCTTCAGAATGGGTATTTTTTAGCATTAAATATATAAAAATCGACTTTTATTCTGAGGTCAGGTGAAGTGATAGTGAGGTTGGAACTCATTTATTGTCTAGATTGTATTTCTGTACTTGACCTCTCACACTTTGAAAAATGTTTATTCCTGTCATTTAAATTTCAATCCATGCATTTTTATAAGGCTTTTCTTTTTTCTTTTTAAATCCAAAGTGCTTGCCAAGCATTAAAAAATGCCCTGGCATCGTTTTGGTCTATTATTACGAAGCCTCAACTCACTGCCCTCTCTCATTTGTCCCAGTTCATACGACGAAGGCCCTGAGGCTCATGTGAGGAACTCCTGCAGGTTGTGGCATCAGGCCCGTTCAGCCCCACACAACACGACAGGAGGGAGCAAATGTTGCCTCAAAGTTTTTTTGCAAATGGGGCAGAAAACAATAAACAATGGATCTGAACTTTTTTTTCAGCTTATATACTGTATTTGTAGAAAAAAGGAACAAAGAATCAAGTGTCACAGTCTTATTTATTGTCATTTTAATTATTTTTTTTACCACACAGTTGATTGATTACAAAGTTGAAGGACGAAGTTTTTTTAAATATAATTTTATGAAAAGAAAAAGAAGACGGGAAACATATAGGATCCTTCGTTTTTGTTGGGACTGACAATAATTACAAAAAGCAACACAGTAAAAACTTACAATAATAATAATAATAATAATAATAATAATAATAATAATAATAATTTAACAGCAGTTGTCAAATTTAAATAAATAAATAAATAATAAATAAATACAGTTTAAATAGAAAATTACAGTGCAAAAGTCAACTACCATTGGAGCAGGGGGAAAAGAAATGTATGAATCGAATTAGGACAAAACAATTCAGACCAGTAAATAAATCAGGAATGAATTAAAAACTAAAAAGTCAGCAATTGTCAGAGCTGTTCTATGCTGATTTTGTGCAAGAATGTATGTATAAATCTGTGTGTGTGTGTGTGTGTGTGTGTGTGAGAGTGGGTCGTGTTGGGTTTTTGCATAGATGTAAAACAACTGGACTGATTTGAGTTGAAGGACAACAAACTTTTTTTTTTTTCAAGGAGCACCCTACTTAACACACTGTCGTCTCCTCACATGTTATTAATGAGAGAAAAATGATCACACGAACATCCACCTCCAAATCCCGCGTGTAAAGGTGAGAACGGTGTGAGCTGCTTCAGCTTATTGGTTGATTTAGACGAACAACCGCCAACGTCAGCTGGTCGTGAAGCTTCAGTCAGTGACGTCAGTGACGTAGATAGTGAATAAATGACATCAAGTCAATTACTCAAACAAATACATTTAACACTTGAATGTTATCAATTTGATCAATTGATTATTTTTTTTTAGTTTGATGGATCCATTTTGGCGCAAACCATCATTTCCTTCCACTACATTCTTGACTACCGCAAACCATTTCTTTGAATGCTGCGTAAATTCAAGTAAAATCTCAGTTGACAGTGGGTTAAACAGTTGTCCGGAACATCAGAGTCACGGCTGATCCAAACTGTGGGGCGCGGGTGGATTTTTGATTGCAATATGACGCACAAAATGTCTGTCTGTCTTTTTTTTATTTTTTATTTTTTTGTTATTAATTATGAAAAAACGCGTTCAGTTCATCATACACCGGCCCACGGTCGTGGTGTAAGTGCATGTCGTGGTAAGGCAGAACGTTTTCATTGTGAATGCCGCTCCGAGCCCCCGAGGACCCAAACACCAGGTTGTGCGTCCCCGAGGCTCTGGAGCCGGGCAGGCCGGAGTAATGCATAGAGTAGTGGTAACCCTTCTCGTTGTCCGGGGATGCGGAGCCCTGGTGTTTGAGGGAAAAGTTGCCGTTAATGCAGAGAGGGGGGCTGATGGGCCCCTCGTACTCGGGGCTGTTGTACTCTGGGGACGCGCCCCCACCGTAAAGAGAATCGTAAGCCGAGCAATAGCCTTGCGTCCTCAGTGGGTGCGAGTTCGAGCCCGGTTGGCAGTGCGGGCTGGACAGACGCGCACACTGGTACGGGTAGGAGTGCATGGAGAAGGAGCCGGAACCGTACCTGCCCCCGTCCTGACACTGCTGCTCCGTCAGGAAGTTGCGGGAGTTGAGCTGCAGGCATCCTGCCACCAGGTTGGTGGTTGGCTGGGACAGTCCCTTGCACAGTGTCTGGACGTAAGACACGAGGTCTGGCCTTTTCCCAGAGCGCAGGATCTCAGACAGAGCCCAGATGTAATTTTTAGCCAAACGCAGCGTCTCAATTTTGGACAGTTTTTGCGTCTTGGAGTAGCAGGGCACGACTTTCCGCAGATTGTCCAGCGCAGAGTTTAGGTCGTGCATGCGGGTCCGCTCCCGCGCGTTGGCCTTTACCCGTCGCATCTTGGAGCGCTCGACGCGGGCCTGGGTCATCTTGCGCTTCTTGGGCCCCCTTTTCTTGGGCCTGTCTCCCTCCGTGTCCTCTCCGTCCTCCTCCTCGTCCAGGTCGTCGTCGTCCTCCCCGGCGATTTCGGAGTGCGCCCTGCTGCCCTCTGTCAGCTCAGAGGGGTCCATGTCGTCGTGCGTGTCCGGATCCTCGTCCTTTATTTTGCCGTCCTCCCCTTCACTGTCATCCGCCCAGCCCGAGTATTTCTGCACGTCTGGAAGCAGCGAGGGGTCAGTGAAAAGCCGGGTCAACATCGTGGCTCTGGAGGCACGGAAACAAGAAAGAGGAAAGATTTAAAAACACGGCGGGAAGAAGCTCAAAATGAAGACACAAAACAGTCCAAACACCGTGGTACTTCGTTCCACCGTGACCAGAACACACATCCAAATCATGCATGTTAACAGATTCACTCTGGCCCCGTTTAAGCAGTGATTGGTGCCTTGTTTACGGTACTCGGTTGACTGGACGACTGTTTTATTTAAAGTACAAAAATATAAAAAATGTTTTTTTTTTAAAATCTCCAAATCCTCAGCGCTGGTTTACAGCCAGTCTGAAGCACCGCTTTAATTCCCTGCTGTCATCCGTGTGCCCTGTCGCGTCCTTCGCAGCGGGTCCCAGCAGCAGGGGCCACATTACAGGTCCCCTGGGGGCCTCCACACTTTTCGCTCCTCCTGACGCCCCACGCATGCATGTGTATACACTCCTGGCTGCATTCCAACACTATTCATCCGCACCGTGCACCTCCGGCTCCTCTGAGGAGGCAAAAGGGGGGACTTCGTTTAATTGATAGGCCGTGTAGCCCCGTTTTAAAGTCATGAGGGTGACTATTAAATGAAGGCTAATAGAGACGCAGTGAAAATGTGGGCTTTTAAAAGGGAGTAGGGAGAGGCTGTGGTTTTAATAGGTGTGGCCCGGAACCAGCACCGAGAGGAGGGTCTATAATTAGATTTAACATTTAACAACAACAACAACAATAATAATACTAATATGGTATTATTATTATTATTATTATTATTATTATTATTATTATTATTATTTAAGGCAGAAATGGAAGTTCCTTCCACTAAAATCAATCTTTAAATGGCTGATTTACGGTCTGACATTTCCACAGCCTTTTCACTTCTCATCTGTGATTATAATTGTTATTATAATATTAAAATTTTAAGTTTTTAGTCCGCAGGCTTGCAGTCCACACCAAGGTAAAGGCCGGCGGTTGGTTGGTTGGTGAAGTGTCTCGGGGCTGTGCCAGGGGCGAAATCTAGTTTTAACATTTGTGTCACAGAAGGTTCTGCTCAATTAGTAGAAGAAGGAGAGACAAAAAAAAAAAAAAAAACCAACAAGGATTAATTATCTGAGCGTGCAGCCTGCACGAAATAACAGAGATCTCCACCTAATTCAGTACGCATGATTCCCACATTTCTGTGCACGTGGAAATGGTTTACACCCATTGAAGCTTCATTTATACAAATATAAATACACAGTATAAAAAAATCTAAATGTCCAGGTCCGCTCGTAGCCGCTCCACGCCACGCGCCTTAAACACTTATGACTAGAAGATAAAAACTGCGCAAACAAGGCATTAATCAACGTCACAGTCAATGGCGTTGTCCCACCCTTTCATTTAAACATGCAAATAATAATAATAAAATAAAAAACATCAATAAATCTCCGCCTCGGAGCGGGTGCGACGGTTTTTTGCAGCGAAAAGAATCGTCCAGGATGCGTCTCGATGTGCGCACTCACGGCTGACAGCGCTGTCTTTTGTTTGAACGATTCGAGATCCAGACATCAGTGAAAATGAAATCAGGGCTCGGTGTCATCTGCAGAGTCACAGGCTGCAGGGTTTACTCCAAAAAAAAAAAAAAAAATCCACACACACACACATATTGGAGTGGACCCAGAGCTGTGGCTCTGGACTCCAGGGTGTGTGTTTATAATCCAGATGTGTTTGGATGTCAAAAGTTGAAGGACACACACACAGAGGGAGAGATAGGATGAGAGAGAGAGAGTGAGAAAATGGGGGAGTGAGTGAGAGACAGGGCTCTGTGAGCCAATAAAAATGACAAAAATGAAAAAAAAATATGAAAACTATGCACACATCATGGACAGACAGACGATTGTTATAAAGATGACTGAAACAGTGGTCAGAAACAGTAACCGTAGAGAGCCGACGTCAATACACGTCTAACGAAGTCACTGACAGGCGATATAATCGATATCCGTATGGATCCACGCCAATCGATCAGCTCCTCAAAGCGTCAGATTATCGTGATTATTCATTCCGACGACAACAACTACACCGTCAACCGTGTACAGTCTGAACACAACCGATAAAATCAAATAAAACAAAAGTAAAAGGTGGACGAACACCTTCCATTAACGCACGTCTCTCCATCTCTTTATTACATTAAGTGTCTCCTCCATTTTGGCGCGGCCACCCCGGCGTCCACGTGATTTAATTTCTATAAGATTTAGTGGTTCAATGTTCACGGTGCAACTTACCTGTCGAGCTCTTGGCAGCAGGAGGATCAGGTGGAAGAAGAAGAAGAAGAAGAAGAAGAAGAAACAGAAAAAGAAGAAAAAGACGCGTCTACGTTCAGAGCATTTTCATTGAGCGTCGCGAATAATGACAGGGGAACGATTCTCCTTCATAAAAGTGCCAAAGGAAGAGGCAGCGGTAACGTCTCCTCAGTGGCGCTGACGGGGCTGGAGCTCCTCTTCTCCTTCTCCTTCTCTTCCTCGTGTCCTCTTCTCCCAAAGCGCACACTCGAATAAGCGGAGCTTAATGAACGCACCGTGCGTCTTGGCGTGTCTGTGTGTTTAAGTGTGAGTGCGTAAAGACGTGAGTGTATGCAAATGTGTGTGTGTGAGAGAGAGAGACAGAGGCAGAGAGAGAGAGAGAGAGAGAGTGAGAGAGAGAGAGAGAGAGCTACCCGGGACGGAGGTTACATACCAGCTAAGGTAGTGATGCCAGCGCCCATATGGCTGGCACGTCACCGGCAAGAGCCATCACATGAGAGCCCGGTGATTGACATGCGCCCGCATTCGAAGAGATTTGCCCTCCCCGGGGGATGAGAGGCATGGAGGAGAGAGAGTAAGAGAGAGAGGGAGAAGAAGAAGAAGAAGAGGAGAGAGAGAGGAGGTGGTTGTAGGGGTGGAGGGGGAGGAGGAGGCCCCCGCCATCTGTCACCGCGCTAGCGCTCACACAGCCAGAAAAAAGGAGAGAGAGAAAGAAAAAACAGAAAAATGATAGAGAGAGAGTAAACGTCAGTAAGAGAGGGAGAAAAAGCAAACACAAACAGTGGAACAACAAAAACTCCCGCTTGTTGACCCGTGCTGCTGCTGCTGCTGCTGCTGCTGCTGCGTCGGGCCGGGGCGTCCATTTGTTTTTTTGGTCAAACATTTTGCCCAGTTTGCCCAGTTTTCGCGCTAAACTGCGCCGTGCAATTTAAGCGTGTGTACGCTGATATAAAATGGGAGTTAAGTGTGACAGAGTCGACGTGAATCTAATCCACGGTGGGAACTCTGGAGTGACTGCACCTCGAGGTCAAGCTGCATGAAGTGTTTGAGTCGTAAAACGTCCACACACTGTGGTTTTATATGCAGTGAGTGGCAGAGCAGCGGATAAAGTGTGACCCGGGCTGTAAACGAACCTCTACGGCACCAATCAATCAATTACCCCCGGGTAGATGATCCTCCGTCGGATCATCGGTTTAAGAAGATAATGGGATAATACTGGACTGGATAAAGTCTATTACCGAAATGACATCTATTAGGGCCTCCGTGAATGAAAGGTGGGCAAAGTGGGTTGAACAATCTCTGCCTCAGAGTCGTCAATTTGTTTTTTTGGTCAAACATTTTGCCCAGTTTGCCCAGTTTTCGCGCTAAACTGCGCCGTGCAATTTCAGCGTGTGTACGCTGATATAAAATGGGAGTTAAGTGTGACAGAGTCGACGTGAATCTAATCCACGGTGGGAACTCTGGAGTGACTGCACCTCGAGGTCAAGCTGCATGAAGTGTTTGAGTCGTAAAACGTCCACACACTGTGGTTTTATATGCAGTGAGTGGCAGAGCAGCGGATAAAGTGTGACCCGGGCTGTAAACGAACCTCTACGGCACCAATCAATCAATTACCCCCGGGTAGATGATCCTCCGTCGGATCATCGGTTTAAGAAGATAATGGGATAATACTGGACTGGATAAAGTCTATTACCGAAATGACATCTATTAGGGCCTCCGTGAATGAAAGGTGGGCAAAGTGGGTTGAACAATCTCTGCCTCAGAAGCAGCAGGGGGATGGGGAGGCATTATAAGTGCATTACGGCCGTGGAACAGACGGCATATTGTTTATTTATTTACCTAATCAGTTTATGCCTTCATGTATTCAGAGGAACAACAAGCAAAACCAATTGTGATTTGTCGGGGCCCTGGTGGGCACGTCAGTGGGTGCAGCTGACCCCCTTTGACGACCCCCCCCCCCCCCCCAACCCCCCCCCCCCACACCACCAACTAACAACAACCACAAAGGCGCGGGAGAGGAGGGGGGGGGGGGGGGGGGGGGGGGGAGTTAATTTACCAAAAAAATAATAGTCCCCCCCAATATGATATTGTAAAATGTACTCCAGAGAGTAAATTCACAGTAGAAGTACATGTCCCTTTGTTACTTGGTTGCAAAAAATACATTTATATTCTCACGCAGTACAATAATATATCCGATACACCACAAAATGTGCATAAATCATACCGAAATTCACGGATTTACACAAGATACCTAAAGTTATATTTACTGTATGTGAGATTTCAATACCATGACTCTGAACATGCAGGTTAGAGAAACTACATGTGCAGTTTTGATACCCAAACTGTACATGACCCTATGAAGTAACAGAACATATCCCAAAAGGTACACAAATACCATCATTCTTGAAAGTGAAAAGGTACCTGTATGTACCTTATGATGCCCCAAGTGGTACAGTAGTGATAATGTTCACCTTTTCCTGCACCGACTTTCTAAATGTAAGTGTGAAGAACCAGGAGGTTTAGTTTCACGTGACATTGAACTGGAAAAGGCAGAGTAATTAAAGAAAAGCCAAAAACATCTGGGTCGGGGGCTGAACGTGCCTCACGCTGTAGAGCAGCCCGGCTGTTGGAGCCATTAGGACAGTGCCGAGGGTGCAGAGTTTTTGTACTGAATATCAAAGTTTATATAACACAGGTACTATGAAGTACCTGTTGTAAAAGGCAGTATATTCAAAGGTAGGTTCATGTGGTGAAGTGTTGACTGGGGAGTCCAAATGTGTGTGTGTGTGTGTGTTTTAAAGCATTTGAAGTAGCTGTTGATACTGATGATGGTAATCCCAGCATGCAGTGCTGATTGAAGGGTGTCTGCACCAGAGACGGAGGGGAAACAGACAAAGAGGCACAATGACGAGAAAGGGAGAGAGGGTGTAAGTGAGACCCAGGTGTGCAGGCACACTAGGGAAGGATAAATTGAGAGGAGAGGGAGAGGTGGCGGGGGGATGGAGGAGGGAGGCTGGGGGGTTGTTGCTGAATGACAAAGACTGGAAGAAGCTGGCAGAAGTGCCAGAGATTTAGGTAGCGGCATGCTGGCACGTCGCTAATGTAAATACAAGGATTCCATAGCCACATAGCGTCCTCATCCACCCCCCCCCTGCATTGTGTCCATCCCGGCTTAGACATTTCTCTATTTAGCAGACATTAGTGAGCTAATGTGGGAGAAATGAGCTCAATGGCCACCAAGTCCAACTTGGCAGAGAGACACCCACCGGGCTGGGAGAGGAGGGACCTGAGGCTGAGGAATAGCTGACAGAAGCTCATCATGTCCTTGGGCCTGGTTCACCCCTACGTCTCCACAACTGCAGGGGTGTTTAGGGGGTTGTGGGGGTCACCCCTGTGGTCACTGCTAGTGTGGCAGCTGCAGCTGGGGAGCCATGATGCTGCATATTCACTAATGTGTCTCTTCCCTTTTGGGATGAACCTGGCAATATACCCACTGTGGTTTGTCTGTGTGTGTGTGTGAGAGAGAGAGACAGAGACATAAAGTGAGGGAATGAGAGAAAGTGTTTGTGTGTGTTTGTGTGGATGGGCATTAGAGGGGCATCTAGCTTTGCTGCCAGCCAACCCAGTGCCCTATCCTACCTCAGCTGCACGGACCATTTGTGGAAAATGTGAGGACTGTGTGGCCGTGGGGGGCTGATGCTTCTCAACAAGTCCCAAACAACCTTCAGGTCACCTTGCCAAAATAAATGCTAAATGTCAACAGTGTGGCTTTGGCCAGCGCCGAGCTCAAGGCGGCCGCCTTTGGAGAGGCTTTGGTGTGATAATGAGTTGCTGAAAGTGTTTTGTTTGGAATTATGATATTTTAGAATGACTTTGCGTCCTGTTTGTAAATGGATTACTCCAAAGTGAGGGCCACCTGCTCCAGTCCTCACAGGGTAGAGTGCAGTACAAGCATGTATGACGTCAGTGAAACTGCAAAAGGAAGTGAAATCGTACTTTTGTAATTTACCTGAACCTTAATACAATCTAACCAATAATTGAACCCAAACAGAGCTTTTTTATTTATATGTTAAAAAAATCAATCAGGGATAAATATCTGTATAAAGACCAAGGGCAGGAGCTGCTGCTGAATGTGCATGACCGTTTGTTAATTTTTTTTAAGTCCAAATGTTGTACTCGAAACAAAAAGGATAAGATAAAGGCAAATCTCTTTTCAAAGTCGTGGAGCCACGTCTCCATGACGATGTCGTCTCCTCCTACTCTCCTCCTTCTCATGCTGTCAGACATGAGAGCTGACGACCTGCACTCCACTTGTCTTCCTGACAGAAGAGCAAAACTTCAGCTGGCACAAATATGACATAAGGCACAGTCTGTCTCTCTCTCACTCTCTCTCTCCCTGATGTACCCACCCACCCCCACCAGACTCCCGGACCCCATCTGCACTCTCCTCTCTCCAGCCCCCTAATTGCATATGCACAAATGCAAATGCCTATTAATTAATTACTTGACTAATTAGTGCAGTGGTATTTTAGAGCGATAAATCAAATGGCGCCGGGGCCGAGGACGGAGAGGGCAGGGGGGGGGGGCGTCCGCTGGGAACCCACACCAGAGGGAGTGCTCCCACAGTCCGGCGTTGGGCTGCACACAGAGGGTGGTAGGAGGAGAAGGTGCACTGGAGCATGTGACGTGTCCTAGAGACGAGAGGTGAGGCTAGTGATGGTGCCAAAGATATGGGTCCTGGGTCGAATCCAGTCCACTGGTCAATATTATCTGGACCAAAAGGTGCAATTTAGAATAAAAAAAAAAAATTAAATATATATTTTTGTTGCAAATTATGGACATGGATTAAGATTTTATTGTGTGGGAGGGGATGTTTGTTGTTTATGATAGTGATCATTTATTTTTATTAATTGGTTGAGTAATTCTAAACTTATTGTTTTTAAATTTCAAACTAATTTTTTATTCATTTTTTCAAATTTTTTCAACTAAACAATAAGTTTAGAATGAGTTCCTAAACTTGAGTTTGTGAGTTATTTTGCCCGTTTCAGTTCAATTCCGAACTTTAAATCAAGTTGTAGATTTAAAAAAAAAAAAATGAAATTAAGATAAATGTTAATAATTTATGTATTAGTTAGAGCATGGGTGTCCAACATACAGCCCGTGGGCCAAAACTGGCCCACCTGGGAGTTCAGTATCGTTTGCTTGATCAATGTTAAAAGAAAAAAAAAGGAACAAACACTTTGTTAGTGATGTTAAATATATTTTTTCTAATATATTTGTACATTTGGAGGAAAGGTGGGAAAACATGGACTTCCTGGCACGAGACCACAGTTCCACTAACATCAGCTTCAGTCACTGACTGCTGCTATTACTGTGATCAATACTTGTGTTCAATGGAAATATAACAGTTGGCATCATGTATGCAGCGATGCTGATGTAATAATCGTGACATCTGTGATTTGTGAGGTGAATAAATCTGGCAGCCACTGTAGGCACATGTAACTGTCTGTCTGTCTATCTGTCTGTGTGTGCTTCTGTAGGTGTGCCAGGCCCCCACCATAGGTATCCACGGAGTTCTCCAGATTAAAATATTCATTCTTGTTTGCTTGCCCAGACAGTGTGGTCCTAATTGCAGCATCAGTAAGCTCCACCTCGTCCTCTCGTCTGGCTTGGCTGTGGAGACAAAACTGGTCTGGGACGAGGATCGTAGGCCTGGCTCTCATTGACAAACACCAGAGCTCGTCGTCAAGGAGTGCTTCCTGTCACTGCTCAGTCAAAGCCATTGATTTGGTCTGCCCGTGTGTCCCTGCAGTCTCCGTGTCTTCTTGCTCCATTCATTCTGTCCGTGTTGGCGCCGCGCTGCCTATTGATCAGCCTGTCAACACGTCTGTTTGTCGATCTGTCGCTCCTCCGGGTCTGTGGGTGTGCGTGTGCGTGGGTGGGTGAATGGGGCTCTGGAGTTTTTCATCAGTTCCTGTGCCAACCTAACCCGCGCCCGGCCAAGCTGAACCATCTTGTGGGATTTTTGCCTTTTAATTATAGTAAGAGAGGATTAATTATGGCAGTGGAAACAAGGGGCCATGCATTATTGATGCTATGAGTGAAAGGCTGGAGGGGGTAGAGGGTGCTAATTAAATCACTGCCCTACTGCCATGTCTTCCTCTGTCTCTGCCTTCCACCACCATGTCTCCCACCTGCTACGCCCCACCCTACTTTATCCCCAGCACCCACCTATTCATATATATATACATTAAAACACAAATACGAACGGCGGGGGGGGGGGGGAGGAGAGGGGGGTTACACTCATTTTACTCCCATTATCTTCACTCTTACTGCGACCACTTTAAAAACACCAGCAGCAGCAGTGCATCCTCCAACTTATCAGGAGTCTAACTTCTGTTCAGGGTTTAATTCACCTTCACGGGTCACAGTCATAAAGTCGTTTCTGTCGTAGTATCTCAATTTGTATGGCGCGAAGATAAATAGTCAACGTCCTTCTGCTCTGATAACGGGTCCTAAATCTACTTTCATCCTAAATCAACGCCATCACTTTGAGAGCGCTAACCAGTCACTGAACGTGTTACAAGGCTGCCATCTACTGGACATCAGGCGAAAGTGTCTTTTATGAAATCCTTCAGCACAATTTGAATTAAACTAATTGAAGTTTAAGTTGAAGCCTTGAGACTTGAAGGCGATTCGTTTTACTTGATGCGGTCCAGTATGTATGTTGGTTAGCGGTATAGGGTGGGGGTTCAATTCCTTCTGACAATGAACTCACTTTATGCCAGTCCAATCCTCGATACATGGAGAGTGTTACATTAGAAAGGTATGAAAAGTTAAATATATGGACCATCAACTATAACAACCGGAATTATCATTTTTTTTAACTTTATTTACGTCACAGTTACGATGCTCCTGATCATGTACATTTAGAAACCGTATAGAACTTTATAGCGTTAACGAGAATTCGGTTCAATTGGATTATTCCATCTTTAAATTGATATGGCTGCTCAGTATTAACCTGTAATTGCATCACCAGGGCAGCAGATGGAGCATTTACATCCTTCAGTTTTCCAAGTGCAACGACAATCATTTCTTCATCTTTTCCCAGTCTTTATGTCCACATTTTTTGGCTTTTGACAAACTTCCCCCAGTGTGTAGATTTAAAGGACATTGTACGAGCGCTGTATATTAAAGTGTATTAGAGTCACTAGATGGCAGCATTGTAGCTTGTTTAATGAATCTCATACTCACTACTACAGGTAAATAAATAATAATAAATATTACCAGGCCTATATCTGTATCGGTTGATATCGGAAATTAAGTGTTTGGACAATATCGGCATCTCAGATATCGGCATAAAAGTAAATATCGGACATCCCTACTAAAAAGTCATTCATAATCTATATTTTGTCTCTAGTCAAGTTATATTGAGTCAAGTATTATTAGCATTAGAGAAATTATTTTATATATATCAGTAGAGAGCAACTGAAATAGAGGCAGACGCATGTGTTTGGTGTGTCCGTAAACATTCTGTATTCACACAACAAAGAAATCAGACTGTGAAACACTTTGGCTCAGCTTCAAGACGTTGGAAACAACACAGACACAACAACGATGAAATGTCATTAGCTCGGCTCGTTGTATTTCGCACCTGAGGATTCATTTCCTTTGAGCCATTATCGTGATGCTGCACAGCTGGGCCTGGTTGCCGTTATTGCTGTTCTTATTTCAGTAGACCTCCATGACAACCATCTGGTGATGTAGTCAAATCATGTACGAAGTTGTACTTGACTCAGCAAATCAACCAATCAAACTCTGTTTACTTAATAACCATACAGTTCTGGCCAATATAGCCATCGACTATGTACAGTATCTTCACATTCTGCTTGCGATGCTAGCAATAACGGCTAGTTTTTCCCAAGTCTTTTATGGTAGACCGGTGAATTTATTTCAGATAGTTATATTTTATATATTAATGTATAACATAGATGGGTTTTTTCTGACCTCTGTCTGAAACTGCATCATGTTGCATTGCACCTGTATTAGTGTTTTGAGCATGACAAGATGTGAAAACATTGCAGGGTAACTTGGTCTATTTACAACAGATTTTACTCTGTTAAATTCTCCATGAGCTCGGTTTAATTGTCAATTAAATCAAATTTCATCGAGTGAATGACGACTTATATGATATCCCAAACAGCCAGTGCAATGTGGGACTAAGAAGCCTGTGTTTGGTTTTCTTTCAAACCAAAAGTCTAAGTTTATAGTGCAATAATGAGTGGCCACCTGCAGGCATGCTGACACTGTGTGACAGAAGTGGCTTTGTAGCAGAGTCAAACTCCCCCACATGGACTGTTGGATAAATGCACTGTAAAGTGTTTCATGTGTTTCAGGATTGTATGGACAGTAATCATGATTCCACGGCCCCTAACCACAATCCTTGACCTCCTTCTCTTTCCTCCATACCGAGACCCTCCAGTCAACTCTCCTCCTCCTCCTCCTCCTCCTCCTGCTCGAGGCTCAGCATATATCATCCATTCTTTCATTTCAGCTGATGCCAGAGCTCATTATAGCCCCGAGGCTAAACCTCTCACTGTCCAAATCCTGCTGCTGTGTGAGTGAAATAAACAGCAAGGCTCTGAAAATAGCACTGGAACGGTCCTTGTCTTTCTCTGCCCAGTGTTTTATTACTAACCTTTTTGTCACCTCACTTTAACACTCGACAATTATTAAATAAACAACATTTTTATCTCAACATCTAACATTTCTTTTAATTCATCCCGACCCTGAGAGGCAAGGAATCTTAGTCCAACCCTGGTGAACATTCATTTATTTATTAATCTCCGTCCGCTTAATCCTTTTCAGGGTCAGCCAATCCTGGCAGTCATCATCTGAGGGCACATTTGACAGCAGTGGTTCTCAAAGTGTGGGGCGTGTACCACCGGTGGAAAATGGAGAAATGACAGTTGCGGTGCGACAAACGGGAGGACACTTTCAAGGTGATGATGACACAAATGCACTTTTTGAACTTTATGTTATTGTAGTTTATAATTCTTTTTTCAAAGTCTAGATATGTATTATTATTTATTGAAATATAAGTTTACAAAAACTATCCTGAACATAAAGTGTTTGTGTATTTTTCAATTTCATAATTCATCAAGCGGGCCGGATTGAACACTTTGGTGAGCATGTTATGGCCCGCAGGCCGTATGTTTGACACCCCTGAACTAAAATGGGCCGCTCATTTGATACTTGAGATTAGTTTGTGTATGAAAATGGACTAATGTGGCTCCCTAAATGAAGTGCTAAGTTTTTATCTTGACATTAAGGCTTTCATTAAAATGTTTATTATAAAACCAGGAAATTCCACTGGAAGAAAAAAACAAAAAAACAAAAGTATTGAACATGTTTTGCTGCTGATGTCAGTGGATAAATTTCTGTTGTTTTTCCCCTCCTGCCCCCCCCACCCTAAATCTCTCATTCACAAATCTAGGCCAAAAATGGCACAGCTGATGTGACGAGATTATTGTTTTGTTTTTTTCTAATTATAAACGTAGCTCAGCTTCAGTAGAAAACAAACGCCTCAGTCCTCACGACAACATTCCCTGCTTTTTCTTTCTTTTTTTTCAGATTTATATTTCTCTAGCTCCTCCCCCTCTCCTGTAACCCCGCCCTCTTCTGCCTTCCCCTCCCACTTCTCTGCCTCACAACCAACTCCAACACCAGCATGTGCCTCATTCAACTCCTTCTGCCCAGGTTGTGAGGGAGGAAACAGTGGCAGCCAGCGAGGCAGAGGAAGGACGTGCGCTCTAACTCTCAGGACAACAAACACTGTTCTGTTCCATGATTTTTATTTTTCACCTGGGAATAAGAAGAAGGAACAGAAGGAATCAGGCTGAGAAGAAGTGAGACCTAAAGCACCAGCAGGTTTCCAGGAGTGGGGAACTACCCAGCAGTAGTTCCAGCAGAGAGGTCGACCACAGAGTGACCTTTGGGGAGTCAGACCCCCCCCAGGATCTACAGTCATGGAGCCATTTATGTCATCGGAGGTGGAGGGGGAGCCCAAGGAGAGGAAGAAGATTCACTTCGCTGTGCCGTCTTCTGCACCCCCCAACCTGGACCCTCGGCAGGTGGAGATGGTGAGGAGCTTTGTAGAAGCACCTAGGTTAAATATTGATAATAATAACATTTTATCACTTTTCTTCAATGGAGGATTAAGAGAAACGTTTCCTAGTCTGAGGTTTTTTGGTTTTTAGAATGATCAGAGTGATGCCTATATTCAGAATTTTCACCTTCTTAATTTAAACTCATACCAGATACTTTTTTGTAACTGAGAACCCTTGTTTGTATTTGTTTTATGTCCCTTGAAAATATGACTTTCATATGACTCTATTTCCCAGAATTTACACATATATATCAGTAATATAACTTAAAGTTTCACCTTTAATATTGTGACGTTAGTCTCTTAACTGAGATCATCCATTTCTTTTCTCTGTTTTGATAGAGAGCACTTATGGAAATACAGGTTCTGCCTGTGTCTGAGCTGAGAAGAATATCAACCTCTTCTCTGACTCTGTTGTCTCATGAGATTAGTGCCCTCTTTGCGTTTCAGTCTCACCGTATCCTTGTCTGTAAAGCAGACTGATCTCCTGCAGCTGCAGCTGGAACCACAGCCTGTTGATATCTTGGCCCGTGTACCGGCCGGCTCCCATTGAAATCTGCCTGGTCTCCGAGGTCGACTATGATATAACAGAGTTTCACGTTTTAGTTTGTCGCTAAAACATCTGGGCGATGCTGGCGTCTTTCATGTTATTTTGGAGCCTCTTAAAGTGGGCCAAAGTGGGAACAGTTTGGTTGTGAGGTGGATTGAGGCCATTGGCTTATTTCCCCAGAGAGTATGAGGAGAAATGAAGTGAGCAGGCAAAAAAGATGAGCTATATGAAGCAAAACTAAATTGAGAAAGTTGCTCTCACCCTGACCCCTGGGCCGATCGTTCCAAGGTCATCTCTCCTGATATTTGTCCTGGAATTCTCTATTTGGATTTTTTTTTAAATGTTTTAGAATTCAAAATAGCCTGTGATTATATTTTATTGTGTCCCAAACAGTACAGGTTTGAATGTAAAAGTTTAGTACTCCAAACTTTCTTTTTGTGAAAGTGATCCTGCTGAGTAATATTCCTCCTTTAAGTATATGATTTTGTTTTTACCTTCTTAGAATGAAAGATTCTGCTGTCATTTTATTACATTAAATAAACATGCACAAAATGATAGTATAGTATTTATGTACATTTATGAACAATATTATATGTTATTTGAAAAAAAGCCAGTTATATTCATCAATGTTCCACTTTTTGTAGCAATTAGCGTGACTAGCAATTAGCTAAACATGGCTACAACTGAGTTATTTAATTATTGTGGTTTTCAGTGATACACGGCGTCCTGTCCAACGACATGGACCAACTTCCTGTTTGACAGCACAGCAGTCTTTTATTTCTGTCAAAAGGGATCAATATTTACATAATTAACCACGTGCCGTAACGAAGATGGAGCGACGCTAGCATGTACGGCCAGCACCGGGGAAATGTTTACCTGAAGTATAAAAAGAAAAGCAGCTGAACCTGTTGATTTGTCTGGTGTTTACAATCATGTGGAACACCTCTACTAAACTATAAACACAGCTGTAGATTTCCACTCTCACGGTCTCACCTGCCTCCCTCCCCTCCTGTTCTTTGTCTCCCACATCCTTTCTCCAGTGCCCTGGTAGTTCTAAGAAACCACAGGAAATGACTCTTCCATGTGTGAGCGACCATCTTCAAATAAATCTGACTTCCTTCTGTTTTTTTAAGGGACAGCCTTATTACCCAATCGTCCCATGTCAAAACAGCGATCTGCTATTTTTAGGTCGCTGGATTGGCTGCCTGTCAGCAATGCACCCGTGGCCTTCACCTTAGAGATAGTGAGTGCGCTTCGTCAGCTTTGATGCAATTTTGCATTCCACCAGTCCATTACTTTTCTATGGCTGTTGAAGTGCAAATAATGAGCATTATGTAAACGGGCATGGACTTTTTTTACCAAATATATAACAAAAAAAAAAAAAAAATAGATAGATAGCTACAGACATTTAAAATAGCAGGCCATAAAACTATTATTTTAAAGTCACTTAGGCCCAAGTCAATAGACATTATTCCTAAATCACAAAATAAAGGTGTACTTGACCATCACTGAACATTAATGAGGAGATTTTATTGTTGAACAATTAATTAATAAACAATCAATTGTTGCGACAACCGTAAACTCTTGGGAAACATGATGCGAGGCGGCCCCAAATGATGCGAGGCGGCCACACAGGTGCAACCCACCTGAGGGTCGCGACCCAGTCTTTGGGAAACAATGACGTAGGCCGCTTGTCTGGTGTAAACACATTAGTAGTGTTTGTCACAACAAAACAACAACTGAGCTTGTGTTTAGAGGATGATTACATCTATTAAGGCCTGGTGGGAGTCTCCAGGGATGGGTGGGTGGGCTCACAGGCTAACAAACCATATCCCCCCCCCATTTGGAATTGTTCTTCCCAACTAGTGAGAGCTTTAAAATGATTTGCTTTTCTGTACCACTTGTTCCACAAGCAGCACTCCTGCGCCGGGTCATCCGGTGGCATTTAAACCCCAAAAATTGCTATCGACCCTACTGCCGAGGGCTGTTGCTATGGAGACGAGTTGTACAGCTATGTTGCCCAAAGCCCACCCACGGTGGGCTTCCAAAAGGTCATCTTTAATAGACGGCTCTGTCCGCTCGCTTCCCTTGTCTACAGTGGTGCTTGTTGCAGGTTTGCAGATACGTATATGTAAATGTGCTGCTGTTGTCAATGTGAGAGACACTTTATAACGTCGCCGCCCACTCACTGAAGCATTACATACTGTCAGAGAACACAGCGAATACTGATGTATCCCTCACAGGTTCAGATGGTTTCTCTCCACACTTTGGACGGACGGAGGAAATGTTTTGGCCGTGAAGATTGTTTTGAATTGAAAAGTCCAAGTTTCAGGACCCCTGTTCGGGCTGTGTTTTGAGTTACGTAGAAGTCGGAGTTTTAATTATAACTTGCTCTAAATAGCAACTACCTGCTCAGGCATTAGCAAAAAAAAAAAACAATTCTGGACAGAAAGTAAAGTTTTCCAGTGTTCTAGTCAGCGCTCGGAGCTTAGTTCTAATCAGAATCTGTGGTGTGACCTCTGGAGGTCACTGTGATGTAACAGCAGAAAGCTTTATATCGTGATTGCTTTGCAGTGGCTACAAAATTGCTGAGCTGGCATGTGATATGTTGATGATTGTGAGTAGTTGTTGATCCTAAAATAAATACCTGAGATCGCGTGTACGTGGACCATGAATATCCACTGGAACGGGGACGTCCATGAGAATATCAAATCGTTGTGAAAGGATTGCAGTCGGACGCGTACCAATGGTTGATAAAGTATACGTTAATCTCCGTCAGGGTTATAGAGTGCACGATTAATCCCTGCCCTACCAACTGTCCCCGCCCTGTCCAGTCCGGGTCTGTGTTAGACCTCAAACAGCGACCTTTGATGCAGAGTGTGTGTGTGTTAGTGGGTAAACATTAGCAGGCTGGGGGATGTCAACATGCACTCCCAAAAAGAACATCATGTCGGCTGCTACCGAGCACACAGGGCCTGGGCGAAGAGGGTCCAGTGATATTTTCACTGTGTGTGGACACCGTCAGCAGTCTGACTCACTCTGCCCAGTGACGCCATCCGTCAGGTCCATGAAAATGTGTTTTTTTTTACCTGTCTGCCTGCCTCACCTTGTTTATGTTTGTAGTGGCCAAAACTAATGGTCTTAAAATGATGAAAACCACAGAGGAACCAAGTAGTCTTTGTCTCTTGGAGTTTGCATGTGGATACTCAAAGTGTGGCTCAGGTGACAGTACATGTACAGTCTTTACGTGGCCGGCAGCATCATCCTTAGCAAACATCTTGAATTTTATTTACATTTTGGATTAGGCCAATCCTGATGTTCCATCTTAGCTATCGTTTGGCTAGCTATGCTCTTTCTTAGTTTCTTAATGGGAACTTTGGAACATTTAGAGCTTTGGAGCTACATTTGACTAACTATTGACTATTGTGTCTGTTTAAGTTTGGCTAACCTTTAGCGACATAAAACGTTTTTTATTTTTTTTATTTTACTATTAACAACAAAAGGTTTCCTGTTGTCTCTAAGGCTAGTTTAAATAAATGTCTTTTATATGTATTTACACTTGTTTTGACCTTTTTTTTGTTCAGCTGAAAGCAAAATAAGTTGGCACATTTGTTTGAGGACATGTTTCATGTATCAACAGTTGGAAGAGATATATAAATATTGAGGCTGGGTGGGGTAATTTGTGGCCGGATGACAGTGTACACAGTGAGCTGATAATGCACTGAAATGCCCTTTCTGCACCTCGGGAATACCCCAAGCGGGCTATGCGACCTGATGGCAATACAGCCATTAACATTCCATCACAAATTCTTCTTGTCATCTACAGTGTAATACCCGGTTGGCCACTACGCAGACTATGTAAGAGATAAATGTGTGTATAATGTTCTTTTGTTGTAGTATAATTTTCTTGCCATTTATTGAATTGCATTCTGCTCCCAAATATTCTTGAATATTTTGTGGATATTGCAAAAAAAATTCACAAACATTTCACTTCTCAGCATAATATTTTTAAATGTATATTTTTTAAAAAGTCGAGATGAGCCATGATCTCAAGAGAGTTGTTTATAAATTACTGAAAGTTGTGATAAACTTAAAAAGCACTCAAACAGCATGATAGTTTAGTTTTCAGTTTGTTCCATATGTTCCATTACAGATGTTTCGTTTTAACAATTGAAGTTTTCCAGGCTGGTAGAGTGATGTAAGGTCAGCTGCGTTCAGTGCACCCACTCCTTTGTCCCTTTATTCTTCTCCTTATGAACATTTTTTCCCACTGAAACTGTCACCAATCTTAACCCCGGTCACAGCGGCGACAGCAGCAGGAGCCATATCTGTGATGAGGGGAGAGGATTAGCAGCGGTGGGTGAGGGAGCTGAGAGCCGGACACAATCTGAGGCTGATTTTTCTGATGTCACTGGACGCTAAGCTGCCCTCCTCCTCCTGCTCCCCCCCCTCCCCCCCTCCTCTATCATGACACCACATCCACAGTCAGGGTCAGGAGCTGGAGTCCCTTGTTCCAGTTTCAGAGCTCCATGGTGGTCATATTGATTCAAACGGAATAAAAGTAGCAGTGAGGCATGACTCAAAACAAAGAGGATTGGTCACCAGGCCTGTTTAATCAACAAAGAAGAGACGTGGCATCACGTTTCTGCCTCTGCGCCTGTTGTAATCTGTCACAGCAGATGAGACTTTCACTTCGTTTTGATTTGCCCGCAACTTAATGAGCTTTACAAGGGCAGAGGAGGTCGTCGGCAGTGTGTTTGTAGGAAGGACAGCATGGAATAAATCCAGCTTTGCCCAATCGTTTTTTTTTTTCACTGCATCATATTTGATAATAATAATAATAATAATGTAAAGTGATTTGATTACATAAAAGACATATGGTTACCATTAGAACACATTACCATTAGAAATGTAATTATTTAATTTAATAAGCATTTTACATTAGTCAGCAACATGCTTTTTTTAAACCGTACGTAGCAGAACAATATTAAAACAAATGTTGCTTAGGCAGGAGGAGCAAAAAAAAAAAAAAAAAACATTGGAGAGAAAAAATCAGAACAAGCCAAAATATAGAATATGTTTTATAAAACATAAGGTAGCTTAAAGTTAGTAAGTTAGTTTTTTGCTTTTAGATTCAACACCACAGCTTAAACCTGTACAGTTACCATCAGCTGGAACCATTTTTGACATTTATCTCCCATGGGAACAAACATTCTTTTTTAAACTGGTGCCAGTGGCTACTCAGTGGCGTGTTTGTATCTGCCTGCAGACATCTCCATGTCAGCCACCAGTGTGACACTGCTTCATTTAGGGCCGTAAAGAACCAGAATACAATGGGTGTTAGCAGACTGTAAACCCACGCCTTCTTCTCTGCGGGGGACCTTGACTGATGTCTCCTCTGTCCTAGCCTCACTACAGTGTGTGCCCTGGCCTGGCAGGTGGCTTCCTGTCAGTCATTACATATTAGAGTCGTGACAGTTGATTGTTGGTTAAAGGTCACGGTTTCTAATCTGGGGTCATTGGACCCTGCACATGCTCACTCCAGTCGTCTGTTGATTTAGTGAGACAGAGCTCACTACGATAGTCTGAAGTTCAGGGCAGATTCACTTTTTAAAAAAGAGGGCTGGTCATAGTGGATTTCTGGTCTAACTTTAATATAATAGTTTGAATTTATTTCTTAAAAAAATAACAGACAATTCAGGGTTCTATTTTCTTCTTTTTTTTACATTTTTCCTAATTAATAATTTCATCATTTGGATTTGTCATAAATAAAACAAGATGTGAAACGCATACATCTACCTACAGTTAGTTTATGTTGCAGCAATGTAAGAATCATAGTCATATTTATGATTCCTAATACTTTGATTAATCAGCATTTCTTTTTTTTAATTTTGAGGTTTCTAATTATCATATTTATCTTTGGAATAAGCTAATACGAAATTTAGAGATGAGATACATTCTTTGCATTATTGTTGGCTAGCTTATTTTTCACTTGACTTTTGCTGGTAACTGTAGTTACGTTTGCTTTACATTAGCCATTAGCCACACCAGACATTCTTTCTTTACTTATCTTTATTTGTTTTTCTCTTTAAAAAAAACAAAACTTAAATAACCTGCACTATTAAAACATGCTAGCAGTGTGTGCCACAAAAGGCTAGCTTTCCATGTCCACCTTCTACTTTGTAAGAGTTTACCAGAGCAAACCCACTGTGTAGATTTCTAAGGACATTTAGCCTCAAGCTACGCTATGCTAAGTTACCTTCTGACGCAGGTTAGGCCAACATTTTTTTAGAATATTGAATCATCCGATACTGTCAATATCTTCCAGCGTTATTCTGACTCATTACACAATACTGTATGTATTACAGCTTTTGTCAACAAGACCCATAACTACACCGAGACTAAACACACACCTTGTTAAACCAGTTCAGGTGTTGTCACTGCACACTCGCACTAAGACAGATCATTTTTCATTTGAAGTTTTAAGTTTTCGGGGATGACTGCATAACCAGAAACCCCAGGGGCCTCATCCTACATTTTTTAAGAAGGTAGAGGGCAGGGCCTGATAAAGAGGTCATCACCAGGACAGTGTTTCATCAACAGAGGATTAAACAGAAACAGAACAGGGGATAGATGTGCTGATGAAACAGGAAGAGATGGGACTTTATGTCCTCCTCTGAGTCTTCTCCGAGGAGTTCTGGCTGAACACTCATTTTTAATTCATTTCTCACTCATTGTCTAGACACAGAGTCAAACTCAAGGCCCGTGGACCGGATGTGGCCCGCCAAGTCGTTTTGTGTGGTCCATGGTAGTTTGAAAAGCATTTCCCCCTGTAATAAAGTCCATGCTGCTGAATTTGTTAACCTGATAAATTTGAATTTTTTTTATTACACAGCAATGTACAAAAATTGGGACTTCAATAAATAAAAAATCAATTGCAGAAACATTTATTAATTAGTTAAGAAGTAGTTCCATTTTTACAGTCTTCCAGTTACAATACAGTTTTTACTTATTTTTTGCCAACAAAGGATCCAGACATTAAGCTACAATATATATATTATATAAATAAATGTTCAAAGTGCTAACAGATCATGTCTGAGACCACAGGCTCTAATGATCTCACAAGTTCTAGTCACTTTATGTAACATATGTGCTTAAATCTGACGAATGAAAACGTTTCGTGCCAATGGGCAGACACCACAACTGTACAAATCAATCTGTGCAAATCCATATCTATCCATCCTTCACCGGGTCAGACCAATAGAGGCTGAGCTCCATATGGCACTCGATAGAATAAACTGAATTTCTATTGAAGAGATGAGACGTTAGCTGACGGTCAAAGTCGTGGTCTTCGCTTTAAATCAGCCCAGCTGACTCCCCTGGAGATACGCAGGCGTGTGCATGAGTTCACGGGTTTTACGGTCTCACCCCACAGAGACTTCTCTGATCTAGTTTATTCTGTCCTAC